TTTTAAAGCAATGTCTTTACCGTAACGTACGTATGAAATCATTTTACAAAATTATGTTTTACTTATTATTCAGTGTTCAATAGAATACAAAGCTATTACATGTAATAACCGTAAGCTTAGATTCAAATCGTCATTAGGGCATCTCCCCCGCGCCATCATTATCCCGCGCTAGATACCATACCGGTACCATAGAGAAATGTTTGTGTCATCACGGCTTCTTCGTGCAAAACACGACTTTGTTATAATTTGTCACGGATAAAACGAATCGTTACATTATGAGACCTCTGTAGAAAAGATAACAATCCAAAATAGAAATCTTCATAATTATCATTTTGTTGTTGGCACTGGCGCTGTCTCTGAATCTACACTGAGACCACAATGACTGAGATGTCGTCCTTGCTGTGCTTTTTGACTGCCTCACCGACGATAGCTTCAGCAGCGGATTTAGCAGATCCGTTAGCTCCGATTTCCTTAAATGCCAGTTCCATCACAGTCATTGTCGAGAACCGTCCAAACGCCATCGCTGGCGATAACTAAGATGCTGCGACCAACGAGTAACTCGCTTTGATGGATCTCAGGCGTAGGGATGACCCAATCCTTCTTGTCGGGGCCCTTTAAATCCGCATCACCGATGACCCGGAAGGGCTGCAAGATCCCTGCAATGCGGTTGCCTAGAATGTTGGCCCCACTGCGAAGAGCTCGCGCCATCTCCTTCTCGTTGGATGCGCAGTGATCTTCGGAGAGGGCGACGACGCTAGCAGCTGGAGAAGGCTCATCTTCTGCCTCGTTCTTCCCAGCAATAGACTCCGGCGCCTCTCGAATAATAGCACGACAATCACCGATATTAAGCACTACTTTCTGCGGGGCATCGGTATTCGGGTCAACATACATGAGGACGACCAGTACACACGCCCCACCTATATTCCATGGCGGCGTGTCCAATGCACAAAACATCCGATCCAGCTCCTCCATCGCTTGACACAGCTTGGCATGGTCAAAGCCGTTGTCGTAAACTTCAGTCAAAGTTTTAGACAGGTTCTCGACTAAGAAATTGGCCGCTCTTGCGCTGTTGTGGCCGTCAATGACTGCGAACAAGTGTAGGTTCTCGTCGGTGTCCACCACAATTCGGTCTTCATTACAGTATCCGCGTTTCGATAGCGACGCCACATCCAGGAGCCGAATGCCATTTGTTTTGCTATATATATCTGCACCCACAGCGTCACCAGATTTTGACGTCGCTTGCCCGTGTTCATGCAGTACTTTGTCGTTATCACCAGCTCTGTCCTTAGTGGAACCGGTAGCGTTCACGCTGCGCTCCTTACTTGTTGAAGTGTCCATGGCCGGCAATAAAGGATACTGCTGCTTCGCTTATAAAAACTGAGAATGAGGTATTATCTCGACTTGATCTATTGCAAGGAGCCTCGAGTCGTCCGTCAATCCATCAATTTCTCTGAATGAAATGATCACTTTCATATAATTTCTTTAAAAGCCCACAATAGATCCTGATCTAGCTTTGGTCTGATGTACAGAGCATTAATACTGAGATTAATTGGTTTGGCCAGCCTAACCAATTTTATAGAGGACCCATGGGCGAAGCAAACAGTAGTAGTGTCTACAAATATTGAGTAATAAGTATTAACACCTTCTATCCGAACGGTACGACGCGTAAGCGCATGTCGTAAGTTACGGCTTACAGAATCATTTGCATTTTGTAAAGGCCATGTGTTTCATGTCGGGATACGTGTATAATTTATCAGGAAGGTTTTTTGGCCAATGTCGTAAGTGATACGGGAGCACTCGCCACTAAATGTGGTAACAGACACCACTTGTAGACAACAGATGGCTGGGGGGGGCTCACTATTTTGCAACTCCTTCGGGAAAACACGTAAAAAAGGTTCGTTGGCTCAACAAACTTTGCATTCAAACACACGAGCTCATCAGGTGAAACGCAGCCTACATGCTTACTCACCGTCGTTGTCATTATCAGCGTCGCTACCATCGCTTCCCTTCTCGCGGGGAAGCTGTCGTTCCCCTCGTGTCTTCTTGCGCTTTCATGCATTCTTGCCAGGCCGGCGCAGCACGACGCGCTTCCCCAGGTTAGCCGGAATGTCCTGCCCGGCCCCGAAGTCGTCGTGCCAGATCTCGAAACAGGTCTTGGCGACGCCCTTGTACTCGTGGCGGATCTTGTTGCACAACCAGCGTTTTGCGGCGTCAATGGAACAGCGCTTACAGTAGTAAGTCGTCGCAAAAGAGTTTTTCTTTTCGGTTCGCAGAAGCGCACAGACCTTGCACGACCGTTGGTGGCGCTTCTGAACGCCACTGACGGTAACCCAGTCTTCGGACTGCTGGAGTCCGTGTGTCAGGCGGACTGGTGTTCGCCTACGTTTCTGGCTGGACCGAGGTGGCGTAGCTTGAACACCCGCAAAGTCCTCGGTTTTAAGTTGCAGGAGCTGGCTCTGAAGGACCGCAAACCACTCGGAGCGTTTCATAGCGACTGCTCCCTTGATTTTGGCCGCCTCTTTGTGGGTCAGGTAAGCATTTACTAGGGCCAGGTCCAGAAACCCCAAGAACAACCCCTTGTAGTACTTAGTGAGCCGCGTGGGCATTTGGAGGGAGTAACTCTGGAGACGGAGCTGATCATGGCGATCAACCCCGCTCATCCAGTTCTGGTAGCCCTTTACAGACTGAGGGCACCCCACTTGAATCGCGCCCACGCGCTTTACCTTCCTCTTGATAGTGGTCGGCGTCATGACAGAGCCCGTGCAAAGGTAGTAGACTGGCTTCCGGTCCCACCAGAGGCATGATATCATGGTAAGGACCGCGACAGAGCGCGAGAAGACAAATGAGCCACGCGGGATGCTTGATGGGCGGGTCTTGCTCACTGACGTGGTGCTCCTGTCGAATCCCAAGCGGTTCGTCATGATTGTCCCAACCACATAAACGTTCATCTTCAGCAGCTCGACAGCGAGGAGAATGGAGGAGTAATATTTGTCAGATGACAGCATGCCAGTTGTGTCGCGATTGAGGAGTGAGCGCCAGCTTCAGATTCCGTAAAACGGCTGCTGCTCCAGTCTTGTAATTAATTCCGGTATCACCCCCATCTACATTCTTACACTTTCCCACATAAATTTTAAATCTACATCAGTTACGACATCAGAAATGTTAGCATCCGCTCTAACCGGTAGGTTGCGACATAGCAAAAAACCTAAAAAAAACTGTGACAGTACGCG